GCTGTTACTGTCAATGGTATGGAAACCAACATACTTTATCAAAGAATCATTTCATCGAAAACACAAATGTTATAGCAAGTGAAGGATCATCGAGAATGCGCCACGATCCTGAATTTTGTCCAAAATAGTGGAGGTGAACACAGACCAGAGGAAAAATTAAAACCAAAATCACCAATATCTTTGTGTTTCATATTCTCTCATGCTCAGATCAGTCTTTCCTAGCATCTACCTTAGTTATTGTTAGTCTTAAGGAATTGGAGGGATTATCACCAATCAGCTTAGGTAGCTGCCGTTGGTTATTTCAGCCATTGTCTCAAAATTCTCTACAATTATTAGGTCGTGAAGAAAGTTCTTGCGCTTTTCGGTGTTTCGTTTTTGAACGCTTTATTTTGTTACGAATTCAAGCAAGCTGCCAATGAGCTGTATGTGGTTTTGAAGAGCTTTTCTTGTTCTATCTAACAGCTAGGCTAGCTATGTTCCTTATCATTTAGTTGTCATTTTTTGAAGCCTTGAATACGGCATACTCCAAGAGCAAATTTGCATGATTTCCTTTTTCTAGCTCAAAGCAGGCCAGTATGGAGAGGAAGCAGGTCAAGATATTATAGACGCACTTGGCTGAGATTCGCAATAAATATGGTCTGAAGCAATTGTTCAAAAAGCTTTTGTAAGAATAGCGAGAGCCCTAAAGATTGTGAGGGTGGTGATCGGAGATTGGACAACGCCAACGATTAGTCGAACGTTCTGGTTGAAGCACGTTTGCACAAATCTATTGAGAGGGTTCCTCCTAAACTAATCGCACTTGCATTGTGTTTTCTTGTTGTACGGGAAGAGCTGGAAAGTCAAAAATTCAAATAGGGCGTGCCGCGACAGCTCACCATTTTGAAGGGTCGTTCGCCGCGTTCTAGCTTGTTTCATGCCATCAAAACGACCTGATTTTTAATCGTTTGCGAACTACGATACAGAGGCCGTAATTCATTGCTACACGCGTGCATACTTTGGTGAATGATTGACACGATTAGGCTCTACAACTTTGCAATTGAAATTAGTGAAGGAATGTTGAGGTTGAAGTCATAAGTCAGTGGTGGGTCTAGCTGTTGGAACAGGTGGATCTGGTTAATGGTTTAGAAAAAAGGACTTCTGCTAATGTGTTAAATGTACTTTCCTAGAACTCTGGACAATTGCTCGAAATTCTTATAAAATGAACCGGGCTGGTCGGGGCCTGGACAGTGTTGCTCGGACGACCATTCGGCAAACAACCCTGCAGATGTTGGACAAGATTGGCTGCGAATTAGTCCTGTGAACATCCTACTCGTAGACCTTTTGCCTATAATATGTCATCTTTCTCGACTACCTGGATAGCTTCTCCAAAGAGTTATGCTTCAAAAACCAACATGATGCGGAACGACCTGCCGGTTCATCGTCTCTAGCTCCAGTATTCTGCACTACCGGGCTGATTCAACGCAGCTATTATTGGCAGAGGTTTGTGGATTCTAACAGTCTTTACTCCAATCAAAAAGGTTTCGAATGAGCCGAGATACAGGCATTTGAAAATCAAGGTCCAAAAGCGCAAGAACTTTCTTCACGACCTAATACTTCCCAGAATTGTAGCGATGTTTTTACTGCCAATACATTGAGTGGTCAGAGAATAGCAGTCGTTATTTGTTCTGCAGTTAAACATGATATCATCGTTCATCGTATTATGCTATACATCAGGTGACTATCGCATAGGTGTGGAGGAAATAGTTGGTCTGATTATCCATCCTTTATGCTGCACGTGTAAAGCAGAAGGTGTATCCAAGGTGGGGCAAAAATAAAGATACCAGGTGGCTCCTCTTAGAAATTTGCGGTCATAGTGCTTATTTATATAGAGCAGGTAAGAGAGGCAGTTGGTGAGCTAACCATAGGCCAAATCCGAAATCAATCACAAATGGCGCTATGGAACACATCTTGACTTGAAGCAACAGTCCCAGCAGGGTGGGCGTGGTCGGAAACGGCTGCAATCCCCTTGGCCGATTCCCACTTCGGAGCTGTTCAGCCCCTAGTCAAGAACGTAGGAAGTGTGACTGAACAAAAACTCACCTTGGAAAGCCGCTAGGGAGGGATCTGAAGTGGGCGTGGTCGCAATCGGCCGTTTCCGACCACACCTACCCTCCTGGGACTGTTGCTTCAAGGTGTGAAATGAGCCAGAAAGAAGCCATTTGATTTCAGGCAGTGGCAAAGTGCAGGATAACAGCATCCAGTTCGAGGAAACGAGTTCGTGAGTTATTATGTACGATATACAATTTGAACCTCGAAACGCTGGGTTAGACTCATAAAAACTTACCCAAAGCACGATAGAGGATATGGAAGAAATCGAATTACGTGGGCCACACGTAATGTGGCTAAGGTATGACTACATGTTCTCACATTCGCCAAGCATTCCACTTCCATCGCCATCACAATGGCATTCTAAATGCGACGTGGCCTATACCTGGAACTTCGGAACCAGCGAAGCCCTTGCCACAGCACCAGTTGCGACCCTTTCCTGAACATTGGTCGTTTATAAACCATATTGAACATATTTTGTCTGTACAACAAAAACCCGTAAGCGAGCGCGGAGCTTTTCGCGGCCAGCATTTTACATATATACGAAAAAATAAGTAGCACACCCCCAACCAACCCAAGACTAAACGTTTGACGACATCGCGCGTTTTGGGTTTTGCACCGCGTGGGACCAGAGCGATTTTGCGAGCGCCGCCGCCGCACCAAATCCATGGATTTTGAGCTGTAAATACGCAATACTTAGATGCGATGAAGTGTTTTCAATAATGTTCGATCTGTCTAACTTATCAGGAGTTACAGTAATGGAAGTTTGACCGAAATGACGTGTTAAGGCCATGAAAAGGGAAATTTTACTTACTTTCCTTTAGTGGTTCCAAAATTAATTTGGACGTGGTTGTTTCAGTAAAAACACATATCTTCCCATACGAATAGGTTTGTATTCGCTTCTATTATTCCTTTTTATCAACATGTTTACGTTAATGAAAAGAAAACGAGGAATGAACTGAACAGACATATCCGTAAGGTCTGGAAAACCTCTGCCAAACTAAAGAATATTTGGCCTTTCTGTGAGCCATGTGGTTTTTAAGTATGCTAATGTATGACCTATAGAATGAGTACAAAGACCTTAGGAATAAGTCGCACAAGCGCAAGAAAAAGGGATGACTTGGGTGGGACGCGTTACCGCGTCACAATGTCCCACGAGGTGTGCAAAGTGGGACGCGCTACCGCGTCACGCTTCGCCAACGTGTTAGCAGATTGTGTAGTCGTGAGGATAATCGGCAGACCGATCACTGCAGAAGGATATCTCGTTAAGGATGATCTGTACATATATGTACAGTCTAAAAGTCCAAGAAGTTTTTGACGTCTGAAAAATTCTAAAAAATTCAAAAATCGACCAATAATTAGGTCTATTTTGTGGATGTACCGAGCCACACTGGTCGGCTTATGTTGAGTGTAATGGAGTAGAGGACGAACACACCTTTTCATATTTCGTATTATTACGAATATTCTGAACGATCACTAAGTGTGTCAGCTTCAAGGACACTTAGCTGCTGAGCAGAAAATCAAATCAAAAAATAAAAAATTTAGTAATTAAAATTAGGTAATAAGCAAATAAAATAAATGGAATGTAACACAAAAATTGAATAAATAATAAAGAAATGTGCATTGCACATTTCTCTATTATTTATTTAATTTTTGTGTTACATTTTTCACAAGATCCTGTAGGCCATTACAATTATTATGCAAGCAATTATGAGTCATTTTCAGGAAGAGCTGATTCGAAAACCATCACAACGCATCACAAAGAAACAGAACCTGTCGGTGAAATGGTGAGTGGAACGGGAAATCGTAACGGTAACATTACGAGTTGGACATAAATGAGTTCTAAACGACTATGCAATATTCATAAGCACACACTAATATGATACGTATTCGTATTTTCCCGACTGGGTCCTTGATTGGTTTTTTCTCACCAAAATCACCTGATTTTTCTTCTTGAATTCAATTGGAAGCAACGATTTCATTTCCTTCTCAAGCAAGAAATTTTCCCTTATATGGTACTCAGTTTCTCATGCCCCCCAAAGGGCCACTACTAGTATCGAAATGGTGTGGTTCTTGCACATGAAAGAAAACATTCGTGCGAAGTGGGCTAGCAGAGGGTAAAAAGAAAAAGAATTCGTCGAGAGCGCTAAAGTTTATTTTTATGCTAAGGCATTGAGAGACTGAGCATAGAGGAGAGAGGATAGGCGACAGAGTCCAGTGCGTGATAGAACGCGTACATTAACGGGCTGCAAACGAAAAGAATGGGGGCGGTCTTTGGAAGGGTCTAGGGCCCTTGTTGCACACATTAGAGCCGTGAGAAGCGAGCGCTCTGCGACCTCTGTGAACTGTCCTAACCTACGCACCAAGAAGACTCATCCACCCGACCTCGTCCTGGGTTAAGCCTTGGATAAAAGCTGAAGACTGTCTTCTCAAACACCACCCCGAATATTCGAAACCGACCAAGAATTGTCCAAACCAGGATAATTGGAATGTGACTTTATCCTTCCAATGGAAAATTTCTTGGCACTTGCGAGCAATCATTAGCAAGTCTGTGTTTCACGTTAGGTGTGCCTCAAAATTTCGTACAAGTGGTAGCTCTTGTACGAAATTATAAGACACACATCACTGAAAAAAGCCGCTAATTGCTTACTATTTGAATTATTGCAAGCCCCAATAAGAGCGTTAGGGCCTTGCAATGATCGGGCCGCTTTTTTTCTCATCCCCAGCATGATAGGGCTGTCTAGTGCCTATTGTTCCATGTTCTCTCTCATCCTTCGTCTCCATCCATACTCAGTCTCTCACTGCTTTAGCACAGCCTAAAAAATAGGCGACTTCATCTTTTCGGAGGATTCTCTTCGTTTCTTTCCTTCACTGCCGGCCCACTTTGCACCAATGTGTCTATTTTCGACGGGCGAGATACCTCGCGCACACCCCATAACACAGAAAGTGGAATATTACCTCCTTCTTCTTCCTCGAGTTGGTCTCCGCGCAGTTACAGTTTCCGCTTGCACGGTGGATTGCTATGTGGTGGCGGCATCTTTTTTTTGATTATCTGTAGAATACAGTCGTGTGCGGTTCGGTTATTTGGAGCCATGTGTAAAGCAAGGTCGCAGACTCAACTCGTCGGTACGCCCTTTTCTATTGTCCCAGTGCGGAGGAGAAGCAATCCTTCATCAAAGGTTTCATCGGCGTTCGTTCTGTTCTGTATTTTTTCAGTCAACTCGGCATCCAGAATTTCATTATCTACCGCTGTTATCCCACCGATTTGATGTGGGCATGTTGCCTTAAACTTATTTGGGCACCATCAGAGCCTGACCCTGATCCAGATTTAGATAAATCACTGGGATATCACACTGGGATACTGGATCGCATCTTATCCCTCACTTCCATAGAAGGGCATTCTATAGTGACCAAAATCTCCCCGAAACGTTTCGAAACATTACACATGTAATTGGGGCCCCTAGCGAAGAGACATGGGTTATAACTCTAGATGGTCGCTCTCTAGCGCTATAGCTATGCTCTATCCATACATATCTTCTCAAACTTTTGAGTGCACAATTCCAGGCACTACCTGAAAGTGAGCATTTTGACGCGCCACATCCAATTCGTACGAGAAGACAAGCGTGTAAGACAAAGTCTTCGTTGGAGTTGAACCAGGTCGCACACGACTTCGGCACACATTGCGAGAGGGATAACATGTGAGTGATGGTTCTGCTAGTGCTTCAGCATAGCTCATGGAAGGTTCGTGAGAAAACCAAGATCATTGCAGATGTCTCCCTGATGAGGACCTGCCACCTGGACCACAGAGAGATGGATTCAAGGAGTTACATGCTGCGCGAGCACAGAAGTATTCGGCCTACCTCACGCAGCTTTATCGCTGCTACGGACGACTCTGATTTGAGCAATACTGCTCCAAGTAGCGTAGCACCGCTGTGTACCGTGAGTAACCATGTGCCACCCGAATCCAGACCTATCCTGACAGTTTGAAATTTTTGGATATATGTACTATTGGGATAAATGGATGAAACTTTGTCTTCTAAACTGTCTGTACCGTCGCAAATTTACCCAAATAATGCTACAACCTTTTCGGTTCGATGTTTCACTAACACATTGTTTTCAAATCAAGCGCTTCTCTTGGCTTGGCTACACACCTGGGCAGAACCAAAAAACAGCTAATAACTTCCCTTTTGAATATATGTATTAGACCGGTCCATAATTTATGGGTCACTTTAATTTATTGCAATGAAAGTTTTCACAGAAATCTTGGAGGCTAGAAACTGCGCCTAGCGTTCTGTTCGAACGTTGTGAAGACGGCTTATTTGCACGCTGCCTTTCTTGGCTGAAACTTCAATTTCTCGAGAACATCAGATCACTTTGTGAGCCTCTAGCGCTATTGTCGCGCACTTTCGAGACGCGACAATGGGTCTGGGACCTTACAGCGCGGCACAGCTGTGATGCTTGTGGGCTGCGCTATTCCACGCATAGAATAGATCCTTCAACACGAACTCTGTGAGGTTGAAGGATCTTGAGGAGTCGCTTCGCCACCTGCAGACGGCCCTCCGGTACTTCAAAGATAGTTTGAACACATAGATATTATTCATCTCCACCAACTTATTTTTTGCTTTTTTGCTTCTTGTGTCGTCCCTTAAAGGAATCTTTCGCGTCGCGAAAATATTCTTGCACTCTTTCCTAACATGGAATATGTCAGTTGTGATCACTGGAAATAGCACACAAAGTTTCACGCATGAAGATTCGGTTTCTGAAGAGAAACAAACGTACAAAAACTACACGTTATGGACCATCGAAGGACCAGGAGGCAGAGCCAGGCGAGGCATGGAAAGAAGACGGCGTTTGGCCGGCTACGTACCAGGCGACGCAATGAGAGAATCGGGTTAAAGCGCGCGATTTCGAGAGAGTGGAGACAAATTGATCGGATTAACACTCGTTGACGGACAAGCGGCGAGTTTTTGACCACTGTTTGGGCCGAACGTGGGACCACGGCGGTTTTTGCGAGCGCCGCCGCCTCAGGTTGTTCAAGCAAATTTTGAGTGATAAAAACATAAATAATGATCAATACAAGGCCAGATCAATATATTGTAATGAGCACAACCTACTCGGAGGTACAGTAGCGGAATTTCTATTGAAAGACATGGAATAACAATGAAAAAGTGATATTCTTTAGAACAAGCTGCAATAAACTTCAAAGGCAATTTTGAGTTGATTATTTTAATCAAAACATATATTGTCATCTCTAAGGTACCGTAAATCGTCGACTTCTACTACTATTTAAACGTTCACATTCATAGGAAGAAAAAGTAAACGAAAAATTTATTAGGCTGAAGATTTCGTATGGTTCAGAAATCCTCTTCCAAATTAAAGCATACGTGACCATTCTATGGACCACTATGTTTTTAGCTAGGTCAGGTTCTGCTAGTCGCATTCGAGTAATTACAAGGAGAGATGTCGTAGGGAAGAACTAGGGCTCGTGCGCGAAAAAGAATTGCTGTAAGCGGGGCTGGCGGGGGCATGATATTCGCGCGCGACGGTCCGAACACGGCCCTACAATTGGCGCGCGGGATATATGATCCGCGCGCGTGTTCGTCATGTGGTTAGATGGGACGATAGGATGGAGTAGAAGTGTAAAGATGTGAATGCATCGAAGCAGAAGGCCAGAAAGAGCTTCTAGTGAATGCACTCCAAGAACCAAGTTTGAGCATCCCCGTCGCCAGCATTCGTGAAAGACGTCCGTGGGCAATTCGAACGCGTAGCAGCCTTTTCGAGTTTTCGAATTTCTAATCAAAACGAAAGCAATACTTCAGTTCTTTTCACTATTATCGTGGATAATGAGTCTCAAGCCAGTGATTTATGGCTGAAATAGAATCATGATTTTTCCGCGCAAGATTCCTTTAACAGATTTATGAATATTTTGGTAACGGCTTCCAAATTCACGCTTTTATTTCTCAAATGAGATCGTAGCCCTATGCACACCCTGATCCACTTTTTCCGATCTTCGAGTCTTTGAAGTCGAATAATAAAGTCTCACCCTCTACACGCCCTGTCCACACTGAGCCGGGCCCGCTTATTGGTTTTATTGGACCCCTAGTATCACACCCGTCCAAAACCTGAGCCGGCCTCTCTAGGTGGATATGCAGAGCTGAATTTTACGTCACACAAAAGGATGACGAGAGGTTATTGTAGGAAGCTGTACCACTGAGGTATCCATTTCCAACGATTACATCTTCTACTTTTTTTGGCTGGCGTGGCCTAAGTTACGTTTCCCGCAGATACATGCAATATTCCGTGCCACACTTGTCAAGGAATAGAAGATCGTATGTGACGAATACGCAGGCTTCTTCTATGGCCTGAACCGGAGTGTTTACCGAGTAATCTTCGAGCGTCAAACCTACTCCAGAGCTGCAGCCGGAACAAATTCAAACTCAAGGGTCAAATTTCTTCACAAAAGCTCTGAACGAATGGAATGGACTGCATCGTATACCTTGAGTGACGAGGATCCACTGGAGCACACTGGCACACAACAGGTACGAATAGAGATGATGAGGCCTTTCAGAAATCCGAAGAGTGAAAGGGCGACTGACGACATGACAAACAACAAGACAGCCTCTCAATTAGGGCATCAAAATGTTGTTTGAGCGAAATACTTGACCGACAAGGAAGCCATTATACTAGTTGAAAATAAGTCTTTCAGCTCATTGAACTGCCTTGTGTAGAGGATCTTCTGACGGGAACTTGATAGGCCTTTTTACAACAAAACTTACTGTCGACTCAAATGAGGAATACTGAATGCAAACAGACGTTTTCTTACCTTTTCAATTAGATTGACTTACAATGCTTCGCTCTAACAAGGAGGTCTTTCAGGGCAAGCCGCGCTTTTTGGAAACGGTTTTTGCATATTGTAGGGACGCATGTATGGACCACAAAACCATGTTTCGTTTTCGCTGAACGGTTTTAGTAGTACCAAAAAAGTGGTGAATATACCCTTGATGGTTCGAATCCCCCGCGGCGACTAAATTTTGCAATCAAGGTTGGCGGCCACTTGTTGGCTTCAAAATGGTCCTGACGATGAATTGACATCTGATTTTGATATTTAGCGCGATTTGGCACCAAACCGTAGGCGCCAACCCAAATGCAAAATTTAGTCGCCACGGGGGATCGAACCCTTAACAGTACCTTATGCTTCTTTTTTGGTACTGCTATAACCGTTCAGCGAAAATGAAACATGGTTTTGTGTTCCCTACATGCGTCCCTACAATATGCACAAACCGTTTTGAAAAAGCGCGGCTTGCCCTGAAAGACCCCCCTTGTTAGAGGGATATCACAGATCCGCGTGTGTGAATCACCTGGCAAAGGTCCAGTTTTATGTTTTATTGAAGCCTCTCCAAGATTGTAATAATTAAGAAGCTAACGCTTCGGCTCCCCCGCCTTTTTCAGACCACGTCTCGACCTCATAATTGACGGTCTCACCCAGCGGCCAATACACCCCCGCGCCCCCCTGCGACGTATCGAGGATTCCTCAAACAGTCACAGCTCTGACCTGGCTTGCGCGTACGCATTCATACGACCCGGAGTTGTGAGAATACGCCGACCGGCTTCTTGCACAGCCATGCCTTTCAATTAGCTCCCGAAACCTCTCATTCTCGAGAACACAATATCACTTTGTGGCCTCTAGCGCTATTGTCGCCCCTTTCGAAGACGCGAACAAGGTCTGCGGACTCTCTACAGACGCCCGGCCTAGGTGATGCTTTATGGCCTTGCGCCTAAACTTCCACGCAATGCGACAAACGATTCCTCAACACACTCTGAAGCTTGAAGATCTGAGGAGTCGCTTCGCCACCTGCAGACGGCCCTCCGGTACTTCAAAGATAGTTTGAACAACATAGATATCATTCATCTCCAACCAACTTATTTTTTGCTTTTTTGCTTCTTGTGTCGTCCCTTAAAGGAATCTTGCGCGGAAAATTCTTGCACTCTTTCCTAACATGAATATGTCAGTTGTGATCACTGGAAATAGCACACAAAGTTTCACGCATGAAGATTCGGTTTCTGAAGAGAAACAAACGTACAAAAACTACACGTTATGGACCATCGAAGGACCAGGAGGCAGAGCCAGGCGAGGCATGGAAAGAAGACGGCGTTTGGCCGGCTACGTACCAGGCGACGCAATGAGAGAATCGGGTTAAACGCCCAGCCGCGATTTCGAGAGTGAGACAAATCGACCTCCCGCTGGAAATAAGGAGATAGAAAGTGTAAGGGTGAAAAGCAAGACGACAGCAGAAGGCCACGAAAGAGCTTTAGTGAATGCACTCCAAACCAAGTTTGAGCATCCGTCGCCAGCATTCGTGAAAGACGTCCGTGGGCAATTCGAACGCGTAGCAGCCTTTTCGAGTTTTCGAATTTCTAATCAAAACGAAAGCAATACTTCAGTTCTTTTCACTATTATCGTGGATAATGAGTCTCAAGCCAGTGATTTATGGCTGAAATAGAATCATGATTTTTCCGCGCAAGATTCCTTTTAAGATTTGAATATTTTAGTACAGGATCCCCAATTCACGCCCGACTTTATTTCTCAAATGAGATCGCAGCCACCTGATGCACAACCCTGATCCGCGGCCACTTTTCCGATCTGAGTCTGTATAAAGTCTACACCCTAACACCCCTATCCACACTGACGCCCGCTAGTCGTTTTAATGGACCCCTAATATCACAAAACCTCCAAACACTGAGCCGGCCCTCGATCTAGGGATATCAGAGCTGAATTGCTCACATCACCAAAATGACACGAGAGTTATTGTAGGAACGTACCTACCGAGCCTCAACCCTTTCCAACGATTACACTCTCTTTATTGGCTCGCGTGGCCTCCAAGTAACCCGCTTTCCC